TTGATCTGCGCTGCGGTCGCTCATTAATCAGCGCAGTGATGCAGCGCTCGCAGGTGTTCAGGTGTTCACTGATACCTGAGATTAATCCACTGCGTCTCCACGACACAACGCTTGTTACCGGGAAAGTTTCTCACTCTCTTCTACACTCAACACCTGCTTCTGCACTTTTCTTTTTATGGGTCCACAAACAAAGGAAGCGTTTCCTGAATGTAATAATAACAATAGTATATAATATAATATAACAAAGCCTACACTACCGTTCAAATATTGTGGAATCAGCTTTTGACTGTAGATGTCTTTCTTCCCTCCTTCAGTGAGAACCATATTATTCACATTTGAAACAGTTTTGTCTCCAGAAGAAGAAGATTTAAACTTCCATTTCCTTAAAGTTCCCACGAAGACTGAAACATATGCTTAGAAATGTTGTTGCCATGGTAATCAACGTCCAAATCAGAGTATATTGTTGTTTTCCTTTTGTTTGTTCTTTAATTATATGCAATAACCCAAAAAAGCCCATGAAATAAGAAATGCTAATTGGACAGGGATTGTGAATTATTCTCAGACAATGCTGTTTGTTGTATGTAGTGCGTGTGTGTGTGTGTGTGTGTGGGTGCGTGTGTGTGTGTGTGTGCGTGTGTGTGTGTGTGTGTGTGTGTGTGTGTACTTCAATGCAGTCGAGATCAATAGACACAGTCTGAACACAACCAGGTCTCTTCTTTCATAAGTTGAAACAGCCACAGTCTCTTTATTTATTCATTTGTTTATATCCTAGATATCACCAAATTCATTTTTTATGGCTATTGCTGTAATTTGTTTGATGTGATTGTTTCGCAATTTCGTTTTCATTTCGATAAAAAGGAAAATCCTTGAAGTTAGAATGTTTGTCCTCATCTCTCATGAAGACAATAATAGCAAAGTCGTTCCGTTGTTTAAATGGAGTACCGGAGACGAAGCCTGGTGGCCTTTTTAATTCATCCGGCCGATGACTTAAAAAGAGTCGGGTCGGGGTGCGGGGTGTGAACAACTAAAATTAAATAATCCACAGGCACGCAACAGGATGCTGAGATGCTTGGATAAACTGGATGTTGAATTAGTTTCCAGTTCACAAAACCTCCAGTGAGCCTCGATCTTTATTGAACTCTAAATATTGAGTTAATGTCTCTGATTGAAGAGGTTTGAACTGAGATTAGTTGAGCTGATAGTCCAGTAGAGATAAATCTAGACTAACCTTCTGCTTCTATGCTGAAGTTTGAAGAAGAGCTTTGATGAAGCAACACGTTGTCTGTTAATTACAGCTTGTTCCAGGCTGCTTTTATTGTGAAACTCTTGACACTGAAACAGAAACAGGAAGCTTCCAGGTTGAATTTCTTCTCTTCTGTTGCTCAGAGGATCTTTGCCTCTTTCCGTTGTGAGTCTGGTTGAACCGTTACAGCGTTTTGTTCTCCATGTACTAAACTAAATAACATCTATTAGTAAAGACAACTTTCTACAAGATAAAAGCACGAAAGACCATTTAGACATATGAGTAGTTCTCTCAGACATCTGACTGGACACAGTCAAACTTTTGTACCTGCGATTTATATCAACAGTCACTGATTTTGTGACGGTGACCTTAGATATTAAATACATTTTTATCAGATCCTCTGTGTGCCTTGATACGTTCCCCCTGAACGCTTCCAGGTGATTTCAGGAAACAGCAGCATTTACAGCCTCACAGTGAGCCGTCTGATAAGACGCCGCTGAGGTAATGGCGTTGTGGAGAGAGGCGCTGTAGTGCTCACTCAGCGGTGGCGTCCTCGGAAACTAAAGGAAAGAGATGAATAAACAAACGGGGCGGCCGCTGTCGGCCCCCGTCCTCGTGCTCAGCAGGAAGACGGAGGAGCTGTGATTACACGTCGTTCCTCTCAGGAACAGACGGGGTGCTGCCGTTTCCCGCCGCTCTGCTCACCTTTCGGTGAGTTTCAAGGCGGGAAAATCTGAGCACACTCAGTGCTGCACCACAGGGAGGCAGGAGGGGACATGTGTCCATAAGAGACAAGCCTGAGCAGGACGACACGGAGCAGGAGGGACACTCGAGTTTGTGATTTTGGCCGTCGTCATCTTGGATTTTGGCCAGTAGAGAGAACACAAGTTTAAGGCACTTCCGCATTGGCTTCGCCGGAGGTCGCCACCTTGACAAGAGGTGGCGGACTCTGTGTTTGTATCAATGATGCCTGGTGCTTGATGGATAATGTTTCCCAAGAGGGACAAGAAAAAGATAGCTAAGAAAGTCCAGTTACCTTCATGTTAAGCCTCTTTCCCACTGGACAAAAAACCCACTAACACCCTCTAAAATCTGGCTCTTGTCTTTACTGGGAAAAGGTGACAAATGACTTTAGAGTAGTCAAAAGTATTGATCAGCTCCAACTCCAATCAGCAGTGATGGTAACATGACAACCGGGTGGACACGCTTATTTATTGCTCCTTTGAGAGCTCAGTGTTATGTGACGTAGTGAGTAAAACAGGGATTTGGACAATTATTATAATTTATTCATGTACAAATCATACAACTAATATGTTCTCCTCAAAGCCAGCAGACAACAGCAATGAAATAAAACTTATCGATGTACTAAACGTACAGACATGAAACTGATATCCATCTTATCTGGCTCTGGATTTACCTAAATGTTGGAATATCCCTTCAACATGACCTTTATGTCATTTGTAATTTAGAATCTTAAGATTCTAAAAATGACCCTTACATAAAAGTAGCAGTTGAAGATTTCTTGACCCTGGAGGATCTCTCTCTCCATCATGATAAAGGTTTGAGCAATATGAGAATTTAATTAAGTGTCACGGATGAGAGGAGCTGCTGCTGTTCAGTAGGAAATTGGTTTGGTAATTGGGGGCTAACGGGCTATCACAATCACACCACTGCTCCGCTGCTCCAAAGGGAGAACTGATTACCTGGTTATGTATTACAGGCCTGTACAGACTCTCATTTTCTTCATCTTTCCCCGGGCTCGCTGAGGCTGATTTAGTGCCGGGAATGAAAGCTAGTCTGGTTGGGTCATCAAAGTGTCGCCCAAACAGAAGGAAATCCCTCAGAGTGAAGAGTTGATTTTCAAATGAGAGAGCGAGGCGAGACGCAGGATCATCTGACGCCGATGGACGGACTGTGTGTGTGTGGCTTTCCACAGATGTTGCTTTATGTCATGTGTTATGAACATAAAGCGGGTTAAAGTCATAACCTTTCGCTCCAGTCTATGACTAAGCTCTTAGTGTGTGAGTGTCTTGTATATTTTGAGATTTACTTCACTAATACCTGTTGAATGGCGTATTTATGCGTTATGTGTTACGTCGCGTTGCTTTGTTTCATATCGTGTTACTTTTTATTAGAATATGCATACATGTGCAAACACTTGGTAAAATCTTCTCTTCCTGCAGCTTTTTTGCTAAAATATTGATTCATGTCATATGTGTGGAAATCTTTGAATAAGTCTTGATTAACAGATCTTTTTTTTTTTTACAACTTATTAACTTTTGAATTCAATTTGCACAATGGTCAACTAAACAAGCTCATCTTTATGAGTTACTGTGAGTTACATAATTCTTTAAATATTATATATATTATGAATATATACATGTTAGGTATTTGAGAGACATTTGATTATAATGTCAATTATGATAATCTAATGAGAAGACCGATCTCAGTAGCTTCATTAATCACACGCATTTGTTTCAAGAAATGTTTCTCTGATTCATGTTGTTCTGTTTGAAGCTTCCTTCATAATGAGGAACATCCCTTTATGTTCTCCATTGTGTATCATTGTGTATCGTTTTCCCCTCTGGGACCAGCGGCCATCTTTAATGAGATGCACATACTGTTAATTTGTTCCATATTCTGCAGAATAAAGTGGTTGCATATTCTTAATTTTATTGTGTGTCATACGTTAGAGTCACAACATATGACTAACTGATGCTGGTCTGATGAAGAGACGACATCAGGTTGCATTATGGGAACTAAAAGAACTAAAAGTGAGGTTATCTCAGCCTCTTACCCCACTGAACATCCTGTGATTCTGTTTATTTCTTGTTTCCTGCTCAATTAAAGCGCTCAAACACGCTCCTCCTCCTCTTCCTCCTCTTCATCACCCCCTCCCCTCTCTCAGTGGGCTAATCAGGGAGCCATGATATGCAAATGTGATTGTGAGAATGTCCTATTTCTTTATAAATAGCCGAGTGTGATGAAGAGGAGGTGTGTACAGTAAACAGAATCAGTCCTCTGATGTTGGACTGAGTTTTGTTTGGTTCTCTGTGTTTGCTCTTCTCCATTTCCTTTGGAGATTTAAAGAATAAAGATGGAATATTTTGAACTAAAATATTGTAATTTTAAGAAAAGTGTCTAATGACAATGATGATAATCTAATGAGAATAAAAATTTGATAGTGGAGAAAGAAGTCAGGATTTGCAAGAAAAGGTTCTTACGTTAGAACAAAGATTAAAAAGGTTATAAATTGAGAATAGTCATGATATTAAAAAAAGTACGTTAAGTGATGTATTGTTGTATAAATGACTTCTAACGTTGTAATGTTTTTAGCATAAAAGCATACTTTAAAATATAATGTAGATGATGTACTTTCAAAAGAAAGTAGTTTCAGTAACATTTCAAGTTGTATACAACAAAAGTACTTTTGCTGTACTTTTATAAGAATATACTGTATTATGGAATAGAATGAAAACATTCCTCTCACCAAGTATTACAACCTTTATCTAATGTATTCCCTAAAATATTTAATTAGATTTTCTTTGTGATACTTCCTTTCTCCTCCCTGAAGTGAAACATCATGTGTGTGTAGATGACCTCACATCCCACAGGAACACAAATGACCTGTTATTGATTAAATACTTACAAATATCCAAGACTGTTCCATAAATCTGTGGATTTAAAAGACAGTAATTGAGAATGAAACATGATGATGAAACAAATGAACTCACCCGTCTCTCCTCCTCCTCCTCAGTTCGTATCGTGTGGACCCGACAGTGGTGCGAGATGTCGCCGTGTCTGGACGACGAAGGTTGCGATCTCCTGGTCAATCAGTCGGGCTGGACCTGCACGCAACCGGGAGGCCGAGTCAAGACCACCACGGTGAGAATGCGTGACGATCTCCTGTATACATCACATCACATTGAGAAAGTAATGCTACCATTTCAGACCTTGACGTCGCCTGTTTATGTGGCAGTACATCATGAGATGGAACCTATTTTGGTTTGAATATTCAAGCAATAGTTGACGATAGGTCGATTATATCACAGCCATGTTTTTTCATCACAGGGTAGCGTCTCTTTGGTTTCATTAATTGACCATATCCATCATTTGTTTGTTGCCATCTATTATGCAACCAGTGAGAAAATGTCCAGCGTCAGTCGGATGACCATGATATCAGGTTGTTATCAAAGGTTTGTCTCTATTTGAGAGGTGGAGGTGTGTCGCTCGGCGCGGTGAGGACGATGTTGCTCCTCTTTCTCCAGTCTCTGAGTTTTGGTTGCCAACAGTTCTGAAGAGGAGTTTCACACTTGTGGCCACTTACGGTCAAAGTGTCTCTGGTGTCGAGATCAGATGTGGTTTCTGAACGGTGGTGCTGGAGGCAGCGGTTTGCGTGTTTCTGCTGCCATCGTGCTTGTTTACACGTCTTGGTCAACTTTGTCAAACACACATCTTTTACTATCGTATTCTCAGGCGCGTAGTGATACTAAAAGGGCAAAAGTAATTTGCAGTAGTATGTGGGGATTATATAACGGCTGTGGACCAATCAGATCGCTCGATTTGAGCGACCCATTTTATAACAGCCCCTTAAAAATACTGTTTATTAAAATGTAAAATAACTCATACTTTCAGTCGATCCCCCTTAGTGTGAGTGAATAAACAGATTGCTAGGAAAAGAAGGAAAATGGAAGCTCTCTTTACAGTCCACTAAAAATAAAGCAAGCAGGCAAAGAAGCTGCGACTCTCTTCATCTCTCTCCACTTTGTTTCAGTGCCAAGCAGCAGCTACACAACTAAAAGCGCTGTGCAGTATTCTTTACAACAGCTAAGCGATATGTGTGTCGGACAACTTTTTAGTTGTTTTTGCTATTGTTCTGTAGATAAATAAAGCGTGGCAGAGGGGGATCTATGAGAAAAAAGTACTTCTACCCCGGGCTGTTCTTTGTATATCTCACTAAATCAGTTTGTGTGTAGTCCACATCACCCCGGACCAGGAAGTAAGACCTCAAAAACCCAGACGGGGCGTTGAGGTTGATGAGTCAAATGAAAACTGGTATTTCACTCAGGACACTGTTCGTGATGCGTGTGAAGCAAAAAGACAATGTTGATTTATTTGTCACTTAACTTCAGGAATTAGTTTAACACCATTTATTTTAACCCACAAACGTGATCTTTTCCTGAACCTAACCAAGTAGTTTCCTGTACAAATTAGGTTTATTTAAAAAAAGACTGTTTGCAGGCCTTCTGTAGGAAGACACACAAACAACAAGGGGTAACTTCTTCGTAGGTGTCATGAGAGCCGTTGAATGAGGATGAGTTGACTAACCACCGCTGCTATCAGGGTTCTCCTGGTAGAATATGAAGGTTTACAGGATAAAGATTAGTCCAGGGTTTCTGAAATCTTCATAGACTGTTCATATTCACATGCCAGGATGCTCCAAAGTCGTCAGAGTCCTTCCTCCCGCTGTGTGTTTAGTTCCAATCAAAGATCATAAGAGCTTCTAATAACATAATAAAACACACCATCCTCTAATGAGGACGCGCTGGCTGTTATTAAAATCACCGCCAGTTTGTGTGTGTTGATTGAATAATTGTTACCCACGAGCACCCTCTTCTCCGTCTGTCACTCTTCACAGGGACCGATTGAAGTGGAGTAGTTTTCAAAAGCCTCTTTATCACCGCACCATCCAAACCTCATTCAAGAGCAGCTGATTTTTGAAGACGCAGCCCCTCATCTTCTCTCAGTTCTCTGTTTGTCCATAAAGGCTGATTGTCTGATTAACTATCTATTGAAAACAGTGGCGGGCCGTGCATTTTATACCTGGGCCTTCTGTGCTGTGAGCTACGGTTATTTGTTTCTATTGGTGTAATAATACACGTATTCGTATTAAACCGTTTGGTACGAGGCTTACGAACCCAACAATACGTTTGTATAATACTAGTGCATTTGGAAAATGCAGAAGCTTAAATTGTGGGAAATATAATGTTTTCGGTGGACTGGGTTCAGTGAAAGATCACTGCAGACCCGCCAAAACCACCAGACACAGGAACAGCTTCTTTCCACTGGCCGTCACTCTCATGAACAATAAATAATATTGCACTACTACCTCTGTTTGCACTACTGTATTATATATATATACACTTTTTTTGGGATATATTTATACTTATTTATACTACATCTGTTCTACTTTTTTGCTGCCCTTTTATATTCTTATATGTTTTTCCTTGTTTATTGTAAAATAGTGTATTGTATGTACATTGAGAGCGGAGTGGAAACCGGAGATATATTGTATCTCTAGTCTGCCATGTATGCGTACGCATACATGGCCAATAAAGCTGATTCTGATTCTGATTCAGATGTAACAGACAACGGGATGTGTGACCTTTTGAACCCGGAACAATAACAAAAAACAGCTGGGGCCGGCGTTCCGAACGTTCCCAACGTTCGGAACGCTCGGAACGCCGGCATGTTCGGAACGCCGGCCCCAGCTGTTTTTTGTTATTGTTCCGGGTTCAAAACGTTCGGCGTTCCGAACGTTCGGCGTCCTCAGGTTAGCATAGCATAGCATAGAGAAATAGGGGCTGAATCTTTATTATTATTAAATTATTAAATTATAAAATAGCTATAACTTTGTGATTCTGTTTAGGCCAGCAGAGAAGGCTTAGCTGGCCCTGACGGCCCACCACTGATTGAAAACCTTCAGGTGGCTTCAGTTGTGAGAGTTCTACTGTTTTCTGCAGCAGCGTCTGTTCACGTGCACGCTGATCAAAAGCTCACCTGTAAACCGAGCCTTTTATTCTTTACTTCAGCTTCACAGTTCATCTTTCCGCTTCGAAACAGCGGTTGATAAAACTATTTTCCTTTTAACATTCAAATATTTTTCTGTGCACTTCTCCAGGAGAAATCCTTTTTTTGTGAATCCCCTGAAATCAGGTCTCATATGACATTTGAGGAATCGGATTACAGCAGTAAAGCAGCTGCAACTCGCGGTCTGCATGTCAGAGCTAGAGAGTTCCCCGGCTCACTGTCTCCTCTCTGAGTTCTGGTTGGTTGTGCGGCTCTCTGAATAATGAAGTCTGTCAAGCTGCCGACTCCACAAAAAAATACCCTCCCTCCTCTCTGTGCCCCGTCTGAAGAGCTTCTCCTCCGGTGGGGAACTCGTAGCTTTAAATGTGGACGGCAGAGGAAGGAGCTGCTCGCCAGGTCAGATCGTCGGAGCGTCGCCTCTCGGACTCACGAGGAAACACACAGCTGCAACTAGAGCTGCACCATTACGGACAAAACAATATGCATGTTTATTTTCAATGTTGAGATAACGATTATTCATTGATTTTAGGGACAAGAAATCATCAATTAAGAGCCTTTCAGGTGTAAATAATCAGCTAAATAACAGTATTATATCATCAATGGATGGGGATTCTCTCTACACACTTGACTGTGATCTCGACACCTGGAAGCAGAGGATGATGGGAGAAGTTGCTTCATCCTCTGAGCTCAATGAACGTATCTGAAACTCAACAACAACTCTCTCTCATCTTTCGTCTCCATTTGGCAGGAAGATGGCGGCGCATCGTTGCGTCTGCCGCCTCCGGCTCCAGAAAATCTTCTATTTGTTTTTTTATTCAAACAAAAAGGGAGCGCCGCACACCAACAAGCTCCCTCTGCTAATGAAGGACAGCAGATCTGATTGCCTCGCGGTGAGGCAAATTAAATTACAGAGACATAGCGCTGAGTGGGCGGACCGACGCGAAACTCCACTGTGTTTACACGAGGAGAGCAGCGAGCGTTCATTAAAGCTCAGAAAGCAGGAACAAATGATGTTCAATTGGCCCCGAGGAGGTTCTACAGGCTTACAGGGACCTACAGAAAATGTAGAGGATTTAATTAGTGGTATATAATGAGTTTGGATGCTGCTCCTTCACTTGGCGAGGCTTTTGGATCATAAAGGTTCTGTGGATCCTTCATGGTCTGATGAGAAGATCTTCTCCCACCTTCCTCTTAAAGGGAAACTCTCTTCACACGGTGGGATTCTGGTAGTAGTCCAAAATGTTCCACAATACGTACCGTGTTTGAGTCCGTAAGAAAATACGTCTATATACAACTAATTTGAAACATTGATACCGAACATGTATATGGGAATTCTTTAGGAATAACCTCTTGAGATGTACCATCTGGTTTTGAACGGGGTCCTCAGCGATAATTATACAATACAAGCACAATTAGACAAAACATTTAACAAAGACAAAAATAACTACAAGATAATTGAACATACCAAATATGTCAAAAAACTAAAAATATATGAATAAAATATAAAAATATGAAATAACAAATACAAAATCAGGAGGTCATACTCAAACACAGCATGACAATGGATCATTATTTCATAGGTGATAGAAAAGCATTAACTTTAGTGAGAGCAGTTCATTGTTCCTCAGCATTGTATTTTTATCTGATCTCCCAATTCACTATCCGCTCGTAGTGACTATGGTCACTTTATCGTCATGTTTAAGGCGCAGGTAGAACTTGGTTAGGGAAAGATCATCAACTTGGTTTAGTACAGAAGAATTCACACAAAATGTGATTATCAACCGAAACCACAATCGTTCCCTCAGCTGAGCCAAAGTGCTCTTGTTGCCAAGTTCTAACCAAAGACAGGAGTCACGGTACGAAATCCCGATCTGGAGTGAACAGGGATCAAAATCCACCTCAAACTCCAACCAGCAACTCCAGAGCTGTGCACAAGTATAGAGCTTCGTACAGTCGGGGTGTTTTAGTCTACAGTATAGTTTAGTTTGTGAGCTGTAACCTCCAGGTGGAGCAGCTCTCACAGTGGAGGCAGAGAGAAATAACACACTTTCATGTTAGCGTAGCCGTGGAGAAGCTGACGTCTGTTCACCTGAAAACTCACCCGTGTGCTTCAGAGCAGGACTTTATTCCTTAGGAGGATTCTGAAACATCTATCGGCTCCGAGAATATTGAAAAAGGAGTTCATAGCTCGACCTAATATTTAAAAAAGCCGCTGCTGTGGAATATTAATGAGACGATTTCCAGCTTGCTTTTTTTGCTTTGAGGGTGAAATAAATAGAAACGCCGCTCATTGTTTCTCTTCACCGGCCGTAATTCATCATAAAGCAATTATGTTGGAAACAAGGCCGCCTGCTTTCCAGTTTACTCCAAGCTGCAGTGTTTATCATGGAAACAGCAGATAACACACACACACACACACACACCTCTGATAACTGAAGGTGGTTGTAGAGCAGTAATGTGATTTAAACTGATGTATAACTAACAACAAGATGAAGCTCATTTCTGCCATTTCTGATTTTATTTCTTCGTAGTATTTGCCGGCTCACTGTAACGTTGGTCCGAGATCATTAGTGGAGCTTCTGCTCCTAAAGTTCAAGACCTTCGACATGCAAAGACAAGATGTGGACTACTAGCAAACTGTCTAAACAGTGCTGGTGCTTGAGGAAGAGATCTGAGGATCCATAAGGGAGGAAGATCGGTTGTTAGGAAGGTGTTGGATTGGTTTAGGGAAATCATCTCTGAACGTTGTATTTCTGTTCTTTTGTTCTGACACGTATTAGTTCATCTTCACACTCTGGTATTTTCCTGACCGTGAAAGTGTCTAAGTGTTTTATTGTTTGGCGCAAATGATTGGTGAGACTCTGGGACTCATTAATTCTGTGCATCCCGGCCTCCTAACTGGCGTTTCATGTTTTATCTCTCCGTCACATTCTGCTTCTGGCTGCAGATGTGTGGTGTTCACGTTGTGTCAGCCGGGCTCTGTGAAAAGCAAGTCACCAGAAAAGATGTTGTCATTGTACGTTTCTGCAAATAGCGGGATGTCGTTGAATATCGAAGTTCTTGAATGAAAAGTCATTTACAATGCCACATGGTGAAATGTATGAAGCGATTGGTTTACGTTTCGAAAAAGGATAAAATAACTTTAGCAATATAGCTAGCGTTAATAAATAGGAACCACACTAAGCAGGCTCTCTTGCATAACATTAAGCAACAAGCGTAAAGACAACGTTTACTTTCGGTTTCACACGGGAAACAAACACCGCTCTTATGGCGTTGTTCAGAGCCTAACTAGTGAAAGTAGTGAAGCATTTAGCAGCTAAAGAAACAGATATTTCCCTCAGGAGTTGGTGGAGACCAAAAATGGAGCTAAAAGAGAGAGAATATTTGACCTACAT